TAATTTCCAAATAGTTGGGTATTTCTTGGATTTCCTGTTGTTGATTTCTAATTCAATTCCATGTGATTAGAAAACATACTTGGTATGATTTATACGTTTTTTTTTGTTTTTTTTTTTTTTGAGACGGAGTCTCAGTCCGTCTCTGGACTGGAGTGCAGTGACACGATCTCGGCTCACTGCAACCTCCACCTCCCAGGCTCAAGCTATTCTCCTGCCTCAGCCTCTCAAGTAGCTGGGACTACAGGCACCTGCCACTACACTTGGCTAATTTTTTTTTTTTGAAACGGAGTCTTGCTCTGTTGCCCAGGCTGGAGTGTAGTGGCGCGATATCCGCTCACTGCAAGTTCCGCCTCCCGGGTTCACGCAGTTCTCCTGCCTCAGCCTCCCGAGTAACTGCGACTACAGGCGCCCATGCCCGGCTAATTTTTTCTATTTTTAGTAGAGACAGGGTTTCACCGTGTTAGCCAGAATGGTCTCAATCTTCTGACCTCATGATCCACCCGCCTCGGCCTCCCAAAGTGCTGGGATTACAGGTGTGAGCCACCGCGCCCGGCTGGTTTATGTTCTTTTATTATTTGTAGAGATGGCATCATGCTTTGCTGCCAAGGCTGGTTTCAGAATCCCCCAGGGATTCAAGCAATCCCGTCTCAGCTTCCCAAGGTGCTGAGATTGCAGGCATGAGCCACTGTGCCTAGCCCTTAAATTCTTTTAAATTTATTGAGACTTGTTTAATGGCCTAGCATTGGTCTATCCTGAAGACTGTTCCATGTGCACTTGAAAATATGTATCTGCAGTCATTGGGTGGAGTGTGGTATATATTTTAGCTACATTAATAGTGTTGTTCAACTATTTTATATCCTTGCTGATTTTCTATATAGTTGTTCTGTCATTACTGAAGGTAAGGTATTGAAATCTCCAATTATTATTATTTTTGAGACAGTCTTGCTCTGTCACCCAGGCTGGAGTGCAGTGGCACTATCTCGGCTCACTGCAAACTCACCTCCCGGGTTCAAGTGATTCTCCTGCCTCAGCCTCCTGAGTAGCTGGGATTACAGGCGTGTGCCACCACGCCCAGCTAATTTTTGTATTTTTTAGTAGAGATGGTGTTTCACCATGTTGGTCAGACTGGTCTCAAACTCCTGACCTCGTGATCCACCCGCCTTGGCCTCCCAAAGTGCTGGGATTACAAGCGTGAGTCACTGTCCCCGGCCCTATTATTTATTTATATTTTTTGGAGACGGAGTTTCGCTCTTCTTGGCCAGGCTGGAGTACAATGGTGCGATCTTGGCTCACTGCTACCTCCGCCTCCCAGATTCAAGTTATTCTCCTGCCTTAGCCTCCCGAGTAGCTGGGATTACAGGCATGCACCATCACACCCGGCTAATTTTGTATTTTTAGTAGAGAGGGTTTCTCAATGTTGGTCAGACTGGTCATGAACTCCCAACCTCAGGTGATCCACCCACCTCAGCCTCCCAAAATGTTAGGATTACAGGCATGAGCCACCGTGACTGGCCTCCAATTATGATTGAATTGTCAATTTTTACACTCGATTGTATTACTTTTTGCATTAGGTATTTTGGGGCTTTGATGTGAGGTGCATATACATTTTATAATTTTATGTCTTCCTGGTATATTGATCTTTTATCATTATTAAATGTTTTTTGTCTCCAGTAATATTTCTGTCTTAAAGTCTATCTTTGTGCCAGGTGCGGTGGCTCACACCTGTAATCCCAGCCCTTTGGGAGGCCGAATCACTTGAGGTCAGGAGTTCAAGACCAGCCTGGCCAATATGGTGAAACCTTGTTTCTACTAAAAATACAAAAATTAGCCAGGTGTGGTGGTGGGCGCCTGTAATCCCAGCTACTTGGGAGGCTGAGGCAGGAGAATCGCTTGAATCCAGGAGGTGGAGGTTGCAGTGAGGTGAGAACACACCACTGCACTGCAGCCTGGAAGACAGAGCAAGACTCTGTCTCAAAAAAAAAAGCGCTATTTTGTGTGTGATATTAACATAGCCACTCCAGCTTGCTTACGATTACTACTTGCATGGCTAATTTTTTATCCTTTACTTCTGATTTGTGAACCTAAGTGTAACTTTTGCAGACAGCATAGAGTTGGCATTTGGTGATGGTGGTGTTTTCAATCCAGTATGACAGTTTCTGCCTTTCTGGAGACAGGGTCTGGCTCTGCCACCCAGGCTGGAGTGCAGTGATGTCATCTTGTCTCACCACTGCCTCCTCTGCAACCTCTGCCTCCTGGGCTCAAGCCAACCTCCCACCTCAGCCTCCTGAGTAGCTGGGACTACAGGCACATGCCACCATTCCCAGGTAATTTTCTGTAGAGACAGGGGTTTCACTATGTTGCCCAGGGTGGTCTCAAACTCCCGGGCTCAAGCAATCCTCCCATCTCAGCTTCCCAAAGTGCTGGGATTACAGGCTCGGGCCACCACATGGTTTCCTCACAAGTTAAGGCAGGTAGTATTTCTATTTCCAAAAGAGGGAACTGAAGCTGAGATGAGGCTATGCTGTAGAGAAACTTGAATGCTAGGGCAATTGATTTTACTTAATCCAAGAAGATATGCAGTACTAATTATATATGATTAGAGATGTAGTAGGGTCAGGCTAGGCATGGTGGCTCATGCCTGTAATCCCAGCACTTTGAGCGGCCAGGAGTCCAAGACTAGCCTGGGCAACATGGTGAGGCCTTCATCTCTACAAAAATTTAAAACGTCAGGTGTGGCAGCATGCATCTATCTGTGGTCTTAGCTACTTGGGAGGCCAAACTGGGAGGATCCCTAGAGCCCAGGAGCTTGAGGCTGCAGTGAGCTATGACCATGCCACTGCACTCCAGCATGTCTCTTAAGAAAAACTGGTCATGTAAAGAAGGCACAAGAACACCATATGACAATGAAGGCAAAGGCTGGAGTTACGCAGCTGCAGGCTAAGGAAGTCAAAGATGGTGGACGCCAGCAACAACCAAGAGGGAGAACCATGGCCCCAATATTAGACTCCCACCCTGCAGAACTCAGACAACACATCTGTTGACTTAAACCACCCAGCTTGCGGTACATTGTCATAGCAGTTCTAATGAACTAATACAGAGAAAAATAAACATTTTGACTGTTACTTTGGGTTTGTTTATTGCAGCTGATCCTGATCTTAACAAAGGGTATGGTCAGATTTTTTTTTGTTTGTTTTTTGAGATGGAGTCTTGCTCTGTTGCCCAGGCTGGAGTGCAGTGGCATGATCTAGGCTCACTGCAAGTCCACCTTCTGGGTTCAAGCGATTTCCAGCTAATTTTTGTACTTTTAATAGACAGGGTTTCACCATGTTGGCCAGGCTGGTCTCGAACTCCTAACCTCGTGATCCTTCGCCTTGGCCTCCCAAACTGCTAGGATTACAGGCGTGAGCCACCACACCCAGCTGGTATGGTCAGATTTTATTATCAACCTTTTCTGCTGCCTATAAAAATATTCATAAGTTATCAGTATTCTTAGCACAATTTCTGTGGTTTTATGAGGAGAGGCTGTGAAATGAAGTGATGAAATGGAAGTCACCACTGTTACAATGGTTAAAAAAATCTCAGATGTGAAGGTGATTTGAGAAACAGCACCTAAATTTATAGACTATCTATTGTATCTGCTATTTTGTACACCTCATTAAATTCTCACCAAAATGTGTGAAGTAGACTTCTAACATTTTTACCATTTACAGATATAAAAACTGAGACCCAGAGACCCAGGTGGCAAAAAACTAGAAATTGAACCTGGCTCCCCAGCCCATACTTGGTTCACTCTAGCGCACAGGGCTGCCAGAATCGAGACAAGAGAGGGTTGCCCGGGAAAAGTCCAGTCTGCTTGGGCGCCTGGGAATGCTGCCAGTGGGAGGGAGAGGATACAAGAAACAATGAGGGAATTGCTACCGAGTTTTAACATGCAGCACTTTCAACACATAAATGCTTGATTTGTACCATATGAGCTCAGGGAAGAGAGTGGGGTTACGTTTCTAAGTAATTCATACTGATAATGGCATTATCTCCAAGCTATCTATAGTGTTACATGAAAAGAACAAAACACAGAACAGTATACTATGTTTTCTTGAACATGCCTAGAATCCCTCTGAAAAGACAGAGGAGGGTGGTAACTGGGTGGGAAGAATTTTCACCTTTCGTAATTTTGAATCATGCCAATGTCTTTGTCTTAAAAAAAGCCAACACTGAGCATAAAAAATAAGGTTTTATTTTCAGCTTAGATTTTAGAAAGCTCAGATAAAATTGAAAGAAATTTTATAATTCCACGACCCAAAGATTACCACTGTGACATGTGCACACAAACATCTTGGTGCATCGCTTGGCTTTAAAACAAACTGGGGTCAGGACATGGTGACTCATGCCTGTAATCCCAGCACTTTGGCAGGTCAAGGCAGGAGGAACGCTTGAGCCCAGGAGACCAGCCTGGGCAACACAAGAGATCCAGTCTTTACCAAAAACTGAAACATTACCTGGGCGTGGCAGCATGTACCTGTAGTCCCAGCTACTCCAGAGGCTGAAGCTGGAGGATCGCCTGAGCACAGGAATTCAAGGCTACACTGAGCTACAATCGTGCCACTGCACTCCAGCCTGGGCAAAAGAGCAAAGCTCTGTCTCAAGAAAACAAACCAACCCACTTTCACACTCTTGACGCTCGGTAAGCATCTTCTATAATGGGTATATTTAAAGGATTTGGGATTAATATTGTAGTAGGCAAGCACTATTTGTATTCTAGAATATTGCCTTTGCTTTCTACCTTTAACATTTGCTGTCTTAATTTACACTATTTGTACTAGGTAATATTCGCTTTTCTTTTGGTTGTCATTTATTCTGTTTTCAACACTATTTTCATGACCTATTTGTGTTCTGAGCGGCTCACAGATAAGGAAACATTTTGCCCAGTCCGTGGAAGATAACAGGGAGAGTAATTAACTGCAGCATATGTAGGCAAAAGGTTATGACAAAACATGGCATTATCAGGGCTTGAAAGGACTTTATTGTGGCTGTGGTGAAGCAGGCCCTGGTCTTGGCAGATACCAGAAGGGCACTGAGTGTCAGCGTGCAACTTGAATTTGATCCCATAAAGTTAGGCATCAGGAAGCCATTCAGAATTTTTCACCCGGTCAGATGCTCAGATTTGCTAGAGAACTCTGGTAGTGGCAAGAACCAGAGCTGGTACTCAGAATTGGGACAGAGGCATCGTCTCCCCCATCCCCCCCGCCAAAAAAGTCCAAACCAGAGCAGTGGCAACGTAAGTGCAGGGAGGACGTGATGTGGATTATTTAGAAAACAGGCCACTTGACATACAACTACTCCGCAGATACAGATGAAGCAGGAATCAGGGACCCAATAAGTCTCAGGTGCTTTCAAGTAAGAGCATGTAGGTGGAAAGGGGCAGGACTCTGTGTTCCATTCTAAGTAACTGAGATTGAAGCAACAGTGGAACCTCCAGATACAGATATCCACTGACAGACTGAAATATGATCTGGGGACAGCAAGGAGGTGGCAGCTTGAGAGAGGTCTACAATCCATCTAATGGTTTAGAGTCACCTGACTACCAGGCCTCTGTGTGGACGGGAAAGTCCTGAGGACAGGACTCTGGAAAACTACCACTTACAAGACAGAGGAAAAAGAGCAGTCACGGAGGTAGGTCACGAAATAGGGGTCAACAGGACCCCTGAAGAGTTCAGGATACTGGAAAGCACTGGCCATGAGTGCCAGATCTCCAGCACACACATCATGAATTTGCTTCTCCCCAGAGGAAGAGAAGCTCCTTCAGGGTGGTGCCTTGGCTCAGGGTAGCTGGTCAACTACTAGTTTTTTAACAAACAGAGACGAGGTGTCACTATGTAGCCCAGGCTGGACTTGAAATCCTGGGCTCAAGCGGTCATCCCACTCAGCCTCCCAAAATGCTGGGATTATAGGCGTCAGCCACTACTTGTTGAGTGAATGAAGAGGTAGGAGCTGGGCTGTGAGTGGCCACTGGACTTGCTGATTAGAAGGGAGTGATAACATAAACCACAGCCACTTTCAGGACAGCAGCCTGCCTTCTCTCCTCCCACACCTTATCCTGTCCAACACCTAAGCACAGTAAGTACCACTGGGAGTCTGTCTCCTCAAAAGCAAGAATGTTCAGGTACACACGTGTGAGTTCACCTCTGAACTACAGGGGAGAAAGCCTGTCTTTATGTGTAAGTCTCATTCACCCATTTTGACCAAAACCCTTCAGAGGGAGATGCTGTCATTATGATGGGTACCTCTTCAAGACTATGCAACAGCAACAGAGCCTATAAAAACTACACAGAGGCCGGGTGTGGTGGCTCATGCCTGTAATCCCAGCACTCTGGGAGGCCGAGGTGGGCAGATCACCTAAGGTCAGGAGTTTGAGAACAGCCTGGCCAACGTGGTGAAACCCCATCTCTACTAAAAATACAAAAATTAGCTGGGCGTGGTGGCTCACGCCTGTAGTCCCAGCTACTTGGGAGGCTGAGGCACGAGAATCGCTTGAACCTGGTAGGCAGAGATCGCAGTGAGCTGAGATCGTACCACTGTACTCCAGCCTGGGTGACAGAGTGGCCTCAAAAAACAGGAAAAAAAAAAAAAAGGCCACACAGAACACAAGCAAGTAGTTTTAGATTAAAATTTGTCTTATGTGAATTACGGCAAATGAAATCACCCCACTGTTTATCTGTTTTATGAGTTTTTACATCTGCTTAAAATTAGCATACTTGATCTTTTACAGTTTCCACCTCCACTAATTAGTGTTGGCAGATTTCTACTATATGTAGAAGCCAAAAGATCAGATTGTAAAAATATCAGATATTGTGATTAAGAGCTCCAAACAAGCCTTGCAGTTTCAGAGGCAGAAACCCACCCAGCCAGTTCAGCTGCTTGGACGTCAAAGCCCTCCGCCTGGCCATCCCAGCCAGGCTCAGCTTCCTTCTCTCACCCATCAGGCCAAGCAGGACTTGTCAAAAATACACATTCAAGTTCCTAGCACACAGTAGGTGCTCACTAAGTGGGAACTGATTATAAACTTGAATTTTTCCTTCAACAAATATCCACCTCTCCTGTCCAGCTTGCCTCAGATCTTCAGGTTTTCTTCACTGAGGCAGTTAAGTTTCTACATCCTTCAGGAAGTTTCCTTTACTTCTCGACAGAAGACAGTTCCCTTTAGGCCTATCATCTCTAAATGCAACTGGCTTTCCATTTTCCACTTACTCAACACTCCACAAAGTACATTTGCTACATAGTATTTATTTAATGACTGTATATTTAGTCACCACCTCGATCATTGCTAAGCTCTCTTCATGTCTATCTGTACCACAGTTCCCCATCTTAGACTGTGACGTCAGCTGGGAAGGGCTGGCTGTTGGCCGATTCACCATGACCGACATGGTGTGTCACAAAGAGCTCCGAGTAAATGCCGTGAAGGAAGAGGATGAGGATGGAGATGAGGATCCTGAGAAGGGCCCAGACTGGCTGCCCAACCCATGGACCTGAGGCCTGAATAAGGCCTGGGAGCTGCTTTCCCCTCTGCCCAGGAGGCCTGTCCAGGGGCGATTCTAAGGCACAGTGGTGAAGGACATGATTGGTCCCCCAAGTGTGGTCCTCAGGTCTCATGGCACCCACTTGCCTGGGAACAGTGCAACAAGCATTCCATTTAGAAGATCTTCCAGAACACACACAAGAAGCATTGTCTAATGAAAATGGAGACAAGGTCTTTCTTGGAAGAGAGTGCCCAAGAAGATACTCTCTGCCCCAAGACTAACCAGGTCCCTTTTAAGGTCCCTGAGAACAGCAGCCTGGGAGCAACCAAGACTTTCAAAGGCTGACAAGGCACAGAGTGGATGAATGGAACGAACAATACATGAAAAAAAACACTTTGGCTGATAAAACCTCCAACCTGAGGCAGGGACAGTGTCGCTCGCTGACATGCAGAAACATGACTGTAGCAGAGATGATGATGATGAGAAATGCATCGCATTTCCCACACTGCCAATATCCCAAGCCCTGCGCTACCACCCTCTCCCCAAACACACACAGACACACACACACACACACACACACAGCATCTGCAGAATAAGTCAGAGGTTGACACCCAGAGCCTGATGTCAGGATAGGACTCTTGGCACTCTGCACTGAAACACCATTAGTCCCGACTTGACAGCAAAAGTAACGCCAGCCTAAGCTTGAAATGAAGGGTCCGTTTTGTGAAAAGTTAGGCTGCACCCAAGACAGCCAGGTCTGGAAAATCTTTCACTTCTCCTACTTCGCTGAAAGGCTGTCCACCTTGGTTGAATGTCAGCTTGTACCGTAAGCGGATAGGTTCCTGGGATAGAAGAGACAGAAGATGTTAAATCAGTGGAGAGCAACCCAGGAACAGGGTGACCATGTTAAGTCAAGTGAGTGCTTCAAGCAATTCTGACACAAAATACCTAGGATACTGTCTTTGGGACTACAAACAAGGGGAAATAGGCACATATCCTGGGAACCCTTTGATACTTGTGCAGTCCTGAAATCCTGAGATGGGCTGCAATTCAGAGATCAGCTTAGGAAGACAGGCCTTGCCCTTTCAGAGGATTTCAGAGGATTAGGGAGAGTTCATGTGTCCCTCCCTTGGTCCCCAGCTATGACAATCCATCTGATCTTCCTTCAATGAGCCCCAAAGACAGACTCCAGTGAGGGATATTCCACATATACCCCTACCACCCAACCAAATCAGAGACTGACTTACTTTCTTCTTTCTCTTTCCTCTTTTTTCTTTTTTTTCCTCTCTCCTTTTCTACTTTTCTCTCTCTCTCATCTATCTATCTATCTATCTATCTATCTATCTATCTATCTATCTATCTATCTATCTATCT